CACCCCCCCCCCCGCCCCCTCCCGGACCTACTTTGTGCTTGGATTTCCTCCTCTTCTTCGACCTCCTCTTCTCCTTCTCCCGCTCTTTCTTCCGCTTCCGCTTCAGTCTCCGGTGGGACTTCTCCTCGTCCGAGTCGCTATGGTGCTTCTCCCCCTTTTCCTTCCGGCTCCGCTCGGGGCCCCCGGAGGTGTCCTGGGTCTCCTCGGCCCCGTCATCTTCCAGCTCACCTTCTTCCAACTCACCATCTTCCCTACAAACCAACCCCAAAGCCAACGTGAGGCCGGCGTGAGAGGAGACTCCGAGGGCGAGGGCCCTGGGCTGGCCCCGGCGGAGGGAACAGAGCGGGGCCCTCCTCGGGAGGACGCGGGGGCCGCTGCCTCTCGGCGCCCCCTCCCCCCAAGAAGGACCGCTCCTGCTCTCGTGTAACCTGGCTGGGGGACAGTGGGGGGGGGCCCGACCCCGCTGGGTTTCCAAGTGGCCACGGACACGGGGACAGCCCAGCCCTAAGCCGGTGTTTCTCAAAGTGCTCCAAGGACCCAGAATTCTAAAGAAGCAGAGCGACAAGGTTCTGTGGTCGAACGAGAGGAAATCCCCAGCTTGGGGCTTCACGGTGCTTAATGCTCTGCTGGAAGTTCCCAGAGGTCTTCCCGTCAAGAAGTCTGGACAACCCCGCTTCAGAGCATGCACAGCTCTGAGGTGGGGGGTGGGGGGGACTGAGCAGGTGAAGAGGGGAAGGGGTGAGTGAAGGGTCTCAGGTCCCAACCCCCTCCTGAGGTCCTCTCCAAACAGCTGTCAGAGCACCCACAGAAGGGGTCCCCCGCACCCACTGCTGCCGACCCCCCGTATCCCTTCTGGCTCCCCTTCCTACAGACTGCCTGACTCTGTCACTGCCCCCACGTCACCCCCATTCCCAGTACTTTAAAAAATAAAAGCACTCCCCAAACGTGAAAGATGCTGCCCACAGAACATTCTAAATATCTACGGGGTAGGGAGGAGGGGAGGGGACAAACAGGGTTAAGAAGGAAAGTAACTGGAGAAAGAATCCAGTTTTTGGCCAAACCCACAGAGACAGTTCTCACAAGTACAGGAGTTGGTTTAAAAAAAAATAATAATAAATTCCGCAAATCTTTTAAAAGCTCCCAGAGTTCCTGGGGCACGGCCATGGAGGGGCGTGTGTGAGAAGAGAACAAATTCCTTTCTTTCTTCTCCATTAACTGGGACCCCGTAAGAGAATGAAGAGAACATAAACAGCGGCGTGACGAACCCAGGACCCGAGAGACTAACCACAGAAGGATCTGATCCAGGCAGAAAAGACCTCGCTGTCCAGATGGGACCGGGGTCCGTGTGGGAACGAGCCTGCCCCCGGGGACCCCCACGGGTTCTACCAGGCTTTGTAGAGAAACACGGCTCTGTGACGCTCCCAGAGCCCTTTGCGGCCTGTCACTCATGCAACCCCTCTGTCCGCCCCCGGGGGGCACTGCTCCCCAAATGTCAAGGAGCCCATCAAGAGGAGCCTCTCTTGACACTCATTCCCAATTCAAAGGGGTCAGGTCAGGTCGGCTTAAAACCCAAGCGGCCCGACCCCACAGACAGCCCGGCAGAGGTCAAGGGCAGCTCTCACGCACACAATGCGGGACACAAAATTTGTTCAGATGTTTCAGAGGAAAACAAGTCAGGGAGGTGACGGATGTGTGCCTCAGGTTGTCTCCTTGCAAACTGCCAGGTTGGCGGGGGAGGGAGCCCCGCAGGAAGACAGCAGAGTAAAGCTGGGAGGAGCTCACATTCCTGACAAGTGAGGCACCTTCCGGCCTGGGTGCCTGGGTGCGGCCACCGAACGGGGTGTGGGGCGTAGCTGCCTCTGCTGGAGTGGCCTTGCCCACAGCAGAAGTGCCACCTGACTGGGGAAACTGGTTCTGGTGAGCTGGCTGAGCGGGGCGGGGGGGCCTGTGGACACCACCAGGGGGCTGGTTCCCGCAGCAAGCATGACGCACGTCCCTCCCTGCTGGGAACACCGTGGGCAGGCCAGGCCGCCACACCTCAGGAGAAACACAGGGAGATGGACAGACCAGACAGATAGACATCACGGAGCTGAGGAAGACCCACAGACAAACCTGGGGCGGGGGGGCAGGGGTGGGGTGGGGAGAGGCCAGCACTCCAGGAAGAAAAGCTAAAAAGAGCATCACTCTTGACTGACAGTCAACAGTGTGGAAAGGAAAAGGCTCAGAGGGACATGTCAGAATGTAGCCAGAATCTCGGGGCAGGTAGGGACGGAGGGGATGCGGGAAGACGAGAAGGGCCGGGGCTCCCAGAAGCCCTGATTAAAGAAAATAAGGCTCCTGAGCAAGAGACCCTCACGGAGCCAGAAGCCTATCAGAGTGGAAGGGATGGCAAGACCCTTTGAACCCTCTCGTCTCAGGCAGGAGGATCTCAAAGGGAGGGTAGGTGACGGGACTTGTCCAGGGCAGACATTCCAGACGCTCCCTCATCACCGCCCACAGCATGACAGGGCAGGCAAAGGTCTCCAGCCCTGTCCTGCCGCCGCCAGCCAGCCTCTGCGACTACACAGACCGGGTCTGCACCTGACACCTGGGGGCGCCTGGCTGGCTCCTTCACTTAAGCGTCCGACTTCGGCTTAGGTCCTGAGTTCGAACCCCGCATCAGGCTCTTCTCTCCCCCCGTCTCTGCTCCTCCTCCACTTACACACACCCTCTCTCAAATAAATAACTTAAAAAAAGAGAACGATTCCTGAAGAAAGCCCTTTCATGCCAAAGGGCTTCCCAAAGCAAGGAAGCAGTGTTCAAATCCACCCTCCAAAGACTTGCAGCCGAAGCGGGGCTCTCTGTGTTACCTTTGTGAACCTCTCCAGGATACCTGGGCTTGGTGAGAACCCACCACACAACTTTTTACAAAATGGGTCAGGAATACTCAGAACTTTGTTTCTTTACACAGACCCGGGGGAAACTGACAAATAGTATATAAGAAAAAAAAAATCCACTCTGGTGACCCCCGCTCGTTCTCCGTGGCAGCTGGCCATGCGGTGCTTGAGAAAGCTTCTCGGAGCCCAGGGCTCTGGTCACCCGAGGGGGTGCCCTCTGACAACACGGGAAATTCCCAGCTTAACTTCTGTGTGAAGATGGGGTCTGTTTCCCTTACAAAGGGAAAGAACCAAAACTAAGACGACGGCGGGGCGGGCGGCAGGAGGCCCGGGGACAGCGCCACGCTCCAGGAACGGCGGCGGGGCCACTTCACAGGCTGCCGGCAAAGCCCATGTCAGAGTGGGATTAAATACCGAGGGAGCCCGCCTAATAGACTGTGACATAATCCCTCAAGAAAAGTGGGGGAAGCCCCACAGCGCTAATCATCTCAATCTAGACCTGCCAAGCCCTCTTGAGACCAGCAAGCAGGAGAAAGCCTGCGGCGGCGGCCCAAGCAGGGGCGGCCTTACTCCAGGAGCCCGGGCTGGCAACGTCCCCAGGACGGCCGCGCCAGGGTCGGCCCGCCGGGGCCATCAGGGACAGGGAAGCCAGCAAGATGGGGGACTGACTTGGAGCGGGCGCCCGGGTGGGAACGGGAAGAGGCCGGCGGCTTGCCGAGGGTCAGATCCCTCTCGTGCCTCCCGCACTAAGCCTCCAGGGCATTTAAATGTCCACTCCCAGGGCTGATGACAGCCAGCTCCTCTCTCTCGGGTCACGGACTAGACCTGGGTGCCCATTCTAAGGAATGCCTGTTTGGCCACTCCACAGGGCACGGGAGCCATCTCATGACTCAAAGGAGGCCGGCCCCGCCTGCCAGCCTACAGATTTGGGCACAGGGCCGCTCTCTGAAGGCCAAGTAACCCCAGCTCCGCTTCCTCCCTGGCATGCGCTCTTGGTACGCTTAACTTGGCTTCGGCTTTCTCATCTGTGGAATGGGTGACTGTAGTACCCTACCAGAGTTGTTAGGGTCCACTGAGATTAACATGGATAAAGCCTCTGACATCAGGAAAGCACAAAGTACCAGACAAAATGTAGCTACCAGATTTAAGGGTAATCCTGAACCGGCTGGGGTGCACTTTCCCTACGGAGAAGCTACACCAGCTCTCCTTGGGGGTCGCTGCTAACCGCGGCCCACACGCTCCCCGCTTTACTTGGCCCGACCGAGCACGTGCTATCCTCTCCCAACAAATCCTGCTGACAAAGAAGGCAGATCAACACGTCCCCTTCCTCTGCCCTAATCTAGGTGGTACCGAGTGGCTGACCAGGCGGGAGAGGCGCAGGGAGAGCTGAGCCCCAGGAAGAATGGACAAGGGCCCCTTAAAAAAACAAAGCTTCCCAGCTTGGAAACTTTTTAGACAACAGAGTTGGACAGAAGCTGAAAGGGGCCTGGGTTTGCAGACTGATCTGGTTTACAAACCAAGAGAAGGGGTAGGGGGGAAAAGCAAAGAAGATGGACACTCGTGGGAGCAGTGGCTGTTACCTGAAGATCATGAGAGCCCTTGACAAGAGGCGGCTAGGTTAATGTGAAGGTCAGGGTTATAACCATTAACTGCTCAAACGCTCAACAAATTGCCTGGGTAGGCTCTGAATGACCCATTAACTAGGGACAAAATTACAAAAATTACAGGGAGGCTCTGCCTCTTCAAATGTTTAAAGACAGGCCTAAATGCAGAAGTCCCCAAATCCGACCGTGTGGGACAGTTGTTTAGTGGGAGCAAAGGCACAGAGGCTTTCCCTCGCTTTCCAACGAGGTGGAGGCGCCTCGGGGGGGTGGGGGGGTGGGGGGCACCTCACTGAGGGATTTGCGGAGGCAGGAAATTCTTGAAATAAACCTCTGGGTCTTGCATATGTTTTTCAGTGTCCTTACTACCTAGGTTCATCGACCAGAAATCAAGAGCAAATGAGCTCTATGGCTCCCTTCCCCTCAACAGTCTCGGGTGTCATCACAACAGACTGTGACATCGCAACATCTCCATGGTAACGCGCCCATGTCACAGACACCACCCCACCCGAGCAGCCAAGCGCAAACCAACTAGGGGAGAAGAGAAGCCCGACCACCAGTACCCCGAACCCCTCACTTGAACGTGAGCAGAAGAGCCAGTCCAGGGCTGGGACCCGGATACGAACACAGCTACAGCCAGAAGTCAACACAGGCGAAAATGGAGAAATCTGAACTTGGACTGGGTATTTGAAATATTAAGTAGCTATTGCTCATTTTGTTATATAGGATTACAGCTTTGTAGTTATATTTAAAAAAAAAAAATCTTTGGTGGCTCAGTTAAGCATTGGACTCTTGATCTCAACTCAGGTCTTGATTTCAGGGTCTTGAGTTCAAGTCCTGCATTAGGCTCCTCACTGGGCATGAAGCCTACTTATTTATTTATTTTTTAAAAATGTTTCATCTATTTCTGAGAGAGAGAGAGAGAGAGAGACAGACAGTCTGAGTAGGGGAGGGTCAGAGAGGGAGGGAGACACAGAATCCGAAACAGGCTCCAGGCTCTGAGCTCGCTGCCAGCACAGAGCCCGACAAGGGGCTCAAACCCACGAACCATGAGACCGTGACCTGAGCCGAAGTTGGACGCTCAACCGACTAAGCCACTCAAGTGCCCCCATGAAGCCTACTTTAAAACAAATAAATACAGTTTTAAAAATCTTTAAGTTAGAAATATGCACTAAAGAATTTGCAGGTGAAATGAGGTGCAATCTGGGATCTGCTTTAAACTATGCAAGGCAGGGGCGCCTGGGCAGCTCACTCGGTTACGCATCTGACTTCAGCTCAGGTCCTGATCTCGTGCTTCATGGGTTTGGGCCCCATGTCAGGATCTGTGCTGACAGCCTAGAGTCTGCTTTGGATTCTGTGTCTCCCTGTCTCTCTGCGCCTCCACTGCCTGCACTAGCTCTCTCTCTCAAAAGTAAATATTTTAAAAAACTTTTTAAAAATACTCAAGGCAGATGGGGAATATAGCGAGATGAACCAAAATTGGCAAAATGTAGATAACTGTGAAAACAGGTGATGGTAGATGACGGCTTTTCTCACAAAAATGCTAAGAAATGTCCCTAATTCGAAAAGGTAAAAAAAAAAGATACCTCGAGTAGGGACCGCCTCAGCAAGATGAGGAGAGGTTATTGAGGAAGGCAGAGCTGGAGCCTGGGGCGGGGGGGGGGGGGGGCTCCATCACCCCACATGAAGGCCTTACCTCTCAGCCCTGATTACCCCAACGACAAAACCTGCCTGGACACCTCGGGTCTCAGACACCGAAAGTGGTGGGAAGTACTCCTCACGGACACCGTCTAGCAGCAACCTGCACGCCAGGCACCATCCTGCTGAGCCCACTCGCACTCCTCTCTCCCTGAGACGCAGTAACAGACCCACGTGGCTCGGGAGACGTTGGTATCCCCATTTCACAGACAGGCTCAGGGATTTGAAAAAGGTATTTGCCTAGACGGCCGCGGCACACACCAACACTGGAACGGGTCCTGGGCGCTCTGCCTCCAGGCCCAACTCTCAACCTCGACCCTAGAGAATGAGAAATTATCTGCAAGAGAATAATTAACTCAACATGCCAACCACCAAAATTCCCATCCCGAAATTTAGCACCGGGCTGCCAAAAAGAAGACAGACGTACAGAAAACTGAGCAAATGAAACGGTATTCCAAGAAACACCAAGGCAAGGTATTAAGACACTGGGCGAAATCCGTGTCCGGGTTTAACTGGGAGGTGAAGCCAGAAACGGAACCTCAGGGAAGGACCGAATCCTCATGGGAAGAATTTCCCAACGCCGCTGTAAATCAAGTGCGTAGCTGACGCCGCTGTAAATCAAGTACGTAGCACGGCCCGGGAGGAAACACCATCCTCAAGCACAGACACGGGGCAGATACAGTCCTTCCAAGATTAAATAAAGGGAACGAGGCGTTCAAAAAGCCGAGCAAAGACTTTGGTTGGTTAATGGAGTAAGAGGTGCACAGAAAGGCCCAAAGAATCCTGGAGAAAACCCAAGTAAAGGGTCTTCACCTCAGATGGACAGAGAGCAATGGGCTTCATTCCAAGGGAAGGAGACTCCAAAGTCGTCCAACAGCAGAAGGGACGCTTCCTCCCGGAGTGCGGCACGCCCACGCTAGGGTCTGTCCAAGCACGCCAGCCTCTTAGCAGAGCGTTTCTGGAGAGCTTCAAGCAAGCTGACTGCGAAAAATCCTGGCAAACTAGAGTCCCACGGAGTGCAGGGTCATCACCTCCGCCCGGACAGCGGCTTGGTCACTCCCACCCACTCTGAACACTGCTCCTGAACACGTTAATTTATTTTGAGAGAGAAAGCGAGAACGCGAGTATGAGTTGTGGGTTCAAGCCCCACAATGGGCTCTGTGCTGACGGCACAGGGCCTGCTTGAGATTCTCTTTCTCCCTCTCTCAAAATAAATCAACAACAACAAGAAAGAAAGAAAGAAAGAAAGAAAGAAAAGAAAAGAAAAGAGAAGAAAGAAAGGAGAAAAAAAGAAGAAAGAAAAGGAAGGGATGCCCTGGGTGGCTCAGTCAGTTAGGCATCTGACTGACTCAGGTCATGATCTCATGGTTCGTGAGTTCGAGCCCCGCATCCGGCTCTGTGCTGACAGCTCAGAGCCTGGAGCCTGCTTTCGATTCTGTGTCTCCCCCTCTCTCTGCCCCTTCCCTGCTCACACTCAGGCTCTCTCTCCCAGAAATAAATAAAAAACATAAAAAAAAAAAAAAAAAAAAGGAAAAGGACAAAAGAACCGCAATCATCTGTATGCAACTCTTTGCTAACTTCCAGTCAACTGTGGGCTTCTGGAGGATAGAGAAGAGGCTGGCAGTCACCTGAGTTTTCAACGGCCCCCAGCGCCAGGCCAGGTTCAGCGCATGTGCTATGTTCTACACAGACCTAGCACTGGCCCCAGTTCTCCATACCCTCTTGCTCAGAGGGCTTCTGGATAGGCCAGAGAGTACCAAGAGCCCATACGTGATCCACACAGCAACCGAAGTGAAAGTGGCCACCAGTCAGCATCCCTGGGATGCGGGCCACTCCCCTTGCCAAGAAGCTACGGTTCCCAGGATGGCTTGGGTGTTCATGCTATGGCAGGGCCTGAAATCCCAAGGAAATCTAAGTCCTGGTGTCTGTTAAGAAAATGAGGACAGCAATAACCCAAGCCACCTGCAATGGACATTAGCCAAGTGACACTCATATCTGGGCCCAGCTCCCTTGGGTTGGGCCCTAACAGGGATGTGTTAGCCGCGATCCACCTCCATACTAGCTTCAACAAGTCTCCCGTTACTTCTGATGAATGAAAATCCCTTTGATTGAAAGGGTCGAAAGCCCAGGCTTGGCCTCTGCGAGCAATGGAAGGAGTGAAACACCGGGCTGATGAGCTGCGCCAGCTCACGGAGGGCCCCCACTCCCTGAGGCCAACCTTTGTTGTTGTTGTTTTTTAAAGTAATCTCTACACCCAGAGGAGGGCTGAAACTCATCACCCCGGGATCAAGAGTTGCACGCTCTAGCGACTGAGCCAGCCAGGCATCTTTGGGGCCAATTCCTTTAACGGGGATACCTGTATTCCCTTCCACCCTCTCCCACCACCTCTGCCACAACAAGAATAACGATGGCTCCGGTGCAGGTAGTAGGCACCTCATACCAGCAACCTTCTTCTTTAAGGGCTCAAAGGGTGGGGGTGCCTGGCTGGTTCAGCCAGAAGAGCACAGAACTTTTGAGCTTTGGGTCGTTGAGTTCAAGCCCCATGTTGCAGGTAGAGATTACCTAAATTAAAAAAACAAAACAAAACAAAACAACCCTTTTTTAAAGGGCCGAAGAATAAATACCGTAGGCTTTGTGGCCCATACAGTATGTCCCAATTACTCAATGCTGCTGTTTCGCGCAAAAGCAGTACAGACTACATAAGTTAACAGGTGTGGCTATGTTCCAATAAAACTTTACTTAGGAAAAAAAAAAGCCAAGTGGGCGGGCTTGGATCAGAGAGCCAGAGATTGCCCACACGTCCTACCAGCAGTAGCTTTTAAACTTTGACCTTGACCCAAGTCTCCTTCATGTTTCTCGCAAACAAGTTTTACAAAGTACCTTTTAAACTCCACTGTACTCTGCTTCTTCTCCTCTTCCATTCCTTTTTCAAATGCAGGAAGGAGACAAATCAATAAATAGACTCCATATCCTGCTAATGGCTGCACACTGCAGTTTGAAAATATCAATATCAGGTCCAGGACAGCCTATAGGTATAGGGCCTGGGTCTGGGTACAGGCTGCCCAGTTTCAAACTCTGCCCTGACACCCACCAGTTCTGTGACCTTGGACAAGTGACTTCATTTCTGTTTCAAATTCTCAGCATAGGGCTGGGGTGAGCTAGTACACAGGGAGCACTCAGAAGGTCCCAGGCAGGTAATCTCTGACCTTCACCGGAGACACTGCCACACCTTTGGGGAGATGAGCAGTCAGGGACTCTCAGGTCACGTACAGTCGGCCTGACCCTTACAGTCCACGCTGTCCACCACTCCCCACAGTCTCTTTACCACAAGAGGATCAACCCGGGTTTAAAGGGAACAAACGGAATCCGTGCTGTACTAAGCTTTATGCTTCTAGGAGTTGACAGTTTCTGGGACGACCCAACAGGGACAACAGGAGCTAAGTGCTCAGCCTAACCTCACAACTCATTTTTAAGGCACCTCCTTTGCAGCTGGGGATTCGGAGCTGCTAGATCGGCAGCAACCCCTAACCATGGCCAGAAGCCACAGGTGTCAGGCGTGGGAAGGAAATCTGAGGCCAGGCAAAGGTAGAAACAAACTTCGCCCAATTCTAAATAAAGTCATCGAGAGAAAAGAGCTCCTTGCACACTCTGAACACTTTCCTGCTCCAAGCCAAGCCCAGTAACTGGCCTGACTGCTGGACAAACCCTTTACAGACTCAGCCAAACTATCAAGGGGTCAGGAAAGTCCTGGGAGCTGGACAGGCCCTGCTCGTCTCTCGGAGGCTCTAGAGGGGGGGAGGGAGACGGCCTGCTTAGGGCGAGGAGACCAGTCCGCAGTGGGTGGGGTGCTCCAGCCCCACCTTCTCAGTTCTCCAGAGGCCCAAGGTGGCAGCAAGACTCGCACCCTAACTGTAAAAGATGAACACAGGCAGGTCACTGCCATGACCTTGAGCAAGCGAGAAAGGCCTTAAGATGGCTTCCACCTACTTTCACCCCCAATCTGCTGCTGGGAATTAAATAAACTGGCTAGAAACCTAGGGGTGGAAGAGAAACGGATCTCCCTTAAAAACCCAGATGTTGTTCTTTTCTTCCATACCAGGCAATATATTTAATTTAGAACTTTTCTGTGGGAGGGACAGCAAGAAGATAAAGAAACCAAGAGTTGCCAAATGCCAGGCATCCTATGGCGGGGGGGTGGGGGGGGTGATGTCCTGCCCATGCCAGGACACAGTCTTATCTATCTCCAGAGCCCCACGCTGTTTCTTCCTATCCTGTGGCCACCTCCAGCGTTCAAAAGATGTCAACACTTGCCTTACACAGAGGGAGCTGAGTCACCAATTCACACAGATACAAAGTCACCAAAAAAAAAAAAGAGAGAGAGAGAAACACACAAGAGGAGGAAAGAAAAAATACAAGCGATTCTCCGTCCTGAGCAACGTGGCTGAGGGACGCAAACGGCCCTCCCAGCAGACATCCTGTACTGGAATCAAAAGGGATTCTACGGAAACGAGGGCCGTGGGCCGCAACGAGGTGCGCACCAACCGAGGGGGCCGCGTCTTCAAACTGCGATCAGCCGACAGAGTCCGGAATTTTAAGACTGCCTGTGTAATCTCCTTTTGTTGCGAAGACCAAAAAACCAAAAATACCCCCACGAAACGCTGTGCTGCGGTTTCCAGGCGGCCATCCTCACTGACCATCAGGACTAGAACAGTCCCGCGGCAAAGGCCAGGCCGATACACCTGGAGAGCCGAACCCAGGCGATCTGGCTCCCCGCGGCCAGCCCGTTTCACCCTCACCAAATGCACGTTATAAGCCCCCCGAACAAGCAGCTGCTCCTCTCCTTCCATTAGGTGTTAATTATGAAACTGGCCTCGAATCACTTATTCGGAGTCCTGCCTCCGAGGAGCGGACTGCTCCCCCAGATGCCTGAATCGGCCTATCAAATACCAACTACCAGGAACCTCAGGAACCGGCCTTTTCTCTCCGACTGTGTTAGGGGCTATGTTGCCAAGGTAAAGGCAAGCCCCTTGCTCTCTTGGGGAACTCAGCCATTTCGCTTACTGTTTGCTCGGGATTATTCTGTCACTCAACTTCCTACCCTGGGTCAGAACCCGTCACTCTGGTCCTAGCAAATTCTGTTCACAGGGACCAAAGCTAGGCTCTCCGGAGTACGGTGTGACCTGAAGCTTTCCATGGAGGCTTGGAAATAATTAGCGATTTTCACCACACAGGTATTCGCTTTGACTGGATCTGGCTTTCTACCCGAGATGGTTCCTGGGACTCAACGGCCACGACAACGTTAAGAGAAGCAAACAATGGGTAAGGCAACTGGCTCACATCCATTCCTCCCCTACCAGGGAAGGGAAAAGATGAAAAAGAGTGGAGGCGGAGGAATTATTAATGGATAAATTACGGGGCTCCTGGGCAGCTCAGTCGGTGGAGCATTTGACTCTGGCTCAGGGCATGATTTCACGGTTCGCGAGTTTGAGCCCTGTACTGGGCTCTCTGCTGTCAGCACAGAGCCTGCCTCGGATCCTCTGTCCCCCCGCCCACTTCTCTGTACCTCCCCAGCTCGTGCGCTCTCTTTCTCTCGAAAATAAATAAAGCGTGGCGATAAATAAATAAATCGCTAAGCCAGCTTAATATGAGATTGTCTACATTCAACTGGACGGACACAAACTCAGACTCAACCGCTCGTCTCTAACTTGCCAGGTAGTCAACAGCTGGGGAAGCCTTCAGTTCCACAGGTGCAGAACAAGTTTCCACTTCGGATCAGCCTTCCTGGCTCAGCAAGAGCCGCAGGAGTGTCTTAACTCTACTGACAAATCCCGGCTTGTCAACAATTCAAAAACTTGAGCGAATCGAAACCCTATCTGGAGACAGGACAGACCGAATTAGAAAAACCCTTTTGGGGAATCGTCTTTTTCTTCTGAAGAACAAATCTGGAAGACGATAAAAAAGAAAGGGGTTTTGTGACCGGAATACCCGTATTTTCATGGCCGCAACTGGTTGTACTTCTGGGAGAATTTGTATTTGGCTTCAGATTAAACCTCTCCCCAGAGAATAAAACCGTTTTAAAGATTGCAAGCAGCTAAGAGTTGCTGTTAAATCAGGGATTCTGAGTGACACCCTTTATTTTATTTTGCAACATCCATTAATTTGAATTTTAACTAGTGCTGGTACATCAGTTTGGGGGGGAAAAAGGCAGTACTGTGACATTTCAAAAACAAAGACTACGGAAATACAGTTTGACATAATCATTACTGGGGCTTCTTGGTTTCTCCGGGATGAGATTCCTTCGAGAACGGGAAAAGAAAATAATAAACCCTTGTGTTGCTGTGCCTGACTACTTGTTAAATGTTTGGGGAAATGTTTTTAAATTCTACGAACGATTGCTACAATGTTCACTTACAAAAGAAATCCCATTTCCTTAACACTTTCTTTTCAAGTAAAGTTAAACAAGTATCCTTCTACAACTCAGTCGCCCTTGAAACTTGGGACTGATTTTGATATTAGCGGCCAGTGTCTGCGCTTGGCTCCTGGAGAAGGAATTTCACCAAGGATGGAAAACTTCAAGTAAAGGCAGTTCATTTTCGGCTGACCCTGCGCACTGGAGAGTGTGTTCAGTTTGTGCTTGAGACTTTTTTTTTTTTTTTTGCAGGATACTGTACAGTGTGGACAGTCGTTCCTCCCACAATTGACTTTACACACACCTAAGGCCACTTCACAGCAGTTACATTGTGAGTATTTTGAGAGGAAGAGTAAAACAACTGGCCCACTGAGCTGCAATTAACATTTCCTCATCTCATCCTAAGTGAACTTTCCCCCCCAAGAATGGAAAGAAGGAAAAACAGGATCTTTGGGGGGGGGGGGACGGGGGAGGAAGGGGCCGTGTGTCCAAAAGTTTTCTCGACCAAAGTACATCAGGGACCAAAACTGGGCGAGAGGGAAAATGGAACTTCACTGTGTTTTGTCTTTTAACGGAAGAACTTATGCTTGTAAAACACATCAGAAGTACAAGTGTTTGGTTCTGCAAGTCATTTCTGGTGCTGTTTTTTCCTTGTATGTGTAGGAAGCAGAGGGGGGACTGGGGGCCGGAGGAAGTGCTCTCTCCACCATGACTGGGCAATGTTAACACGTTTGCATCAACTTTTCACGGTCAGGCATGTGCTTTCGAACAAAGGAACAGTGGAGACGGGGAGAGACTGGGGCTTGACACTTTACAGATTTGGTGCTTAAACAGTACTTTACAAATGACTTGCTTAATTTAAACGTCCATCACCATAAGAGACATTGGAGTAAAATGAGAAAATTGCATCTACTTGAACCACAATCTTTTTTTTGGGGGGGGAGGGAGAACATTAACTCAAATACAAGTATCATCAAACAAATTCAGTTTTAACCTCGTCTCCTATAAATGGACCTCTGAAGTATCCACTTTCTTCAAAGATGAAGGCTGGAGACAAAAGCAATGGATCGAAATGGAGGGATACCAAGGGCTTGAAAACACAGGGGCCTTTTACATAAGTTTTTGTCATGTTACAGTAACGCTTTTTTTTTTTTTGACAAAACTGTGTACGATAAATTTTAAAAAAATTAAAGATCAAAAGGATGTGCAAGTCTACAAAGGGCTCAAACCTGGGTTAGAATCCTGATTCGAACATATCAATTCACTCAAGCATCACTTTGGTCTAAAGGCAGGAGTAAGGCAGGCAGGAAAAGGGGCAAAAAGAGGGAGATAATTGAATTACTCAATAAAAGAGGCTACTTACCATCCCAACCCACTGTAAGACATACACTTCTGACATAAGAGAACTCCTTAGAGGCCGAATAAAGCGTGTAAGCACCTTTGAGTAATGCACCTGCCCCCAAGAGGGGGCCCCGGAAGCCCAACGTGGGCTGAGCGCACAGACCTTTGCTAATCTGTTTATTTCCTTGAACTGGAGTCAGGCTGCGATGGGCTGCGAGTCCCAGGACGATACATTTAATTATAACGAAACAGAAAATAAAATAAAAAAAAAAATTTGGTTTGTAAAAGCTCACCAAACTGCGGCACTTGTGTCTCTGAATGTGGGTGGCATTTCTTTTAAAAGGCAAAGTATGGTCTGTGAAGGAGAAAGGGAGAAGGGGGGGTGGCAGTGGGGGGAAGGGGCCGTGGTGCCTGGCAGGGAAGCCCTAGCGGGGACCCCCTACCTAGGGGAGGGTCCTCAAGCGACTCCCCAGCCCGGGCTGCTCGGGCGGCCATCTGGCCAGCGCGAGCTCTTCCCCTCCCCGCCCCCACTCCCTCGCAGACTGGCTTTCCTGCCGGCTGAAAACCTCCTTCCGTTCCCAAATCCACTCTTTAGACCCCTCTCCCCCTGCCCCGCCAGGAAACGGAGGGCAAACCCTGCACCCCAACCCTCTGCTGGAGCAGGGGAAACAGGGGCCCCAGCCTCGCCCTAAAACGCGCCAGGCTGGCCCCTTTATCACCCTCCAGAAAGGGCGTGGGGCAAACCCATTTCGCACTTCATAAAGGGGAAGGGGGGGCGCTCCCTTCCACCCCTTGCCAAAGCACGAAAAAAAACACCCAAAATTCGTTTTCTCTCCCGGAAGGGATGGCGCCCCATTTTAGCCCGAAAGAGGAGGGAACCCCATGAGAAAGAAGAGACCAACTTCCTCTCCCCTCTAAGGCAGGGAAAGCAAACCTCACCCCCCCACCACCCTCGCCAAAAACGCATCACCTACCTACGAAAAACGAGAGGACCCCTGCCTTCAAAGAAAAACACTGGGAAGGGGCTTCCCCCCCAAAAGAGGCAGGGGCTTCCATCAAAAGGACTAGAGATCCCCCCCCGGCCAAATTTGCCCTCCAGTTATTAGCTAGGAAATACCTCCCGCCAAAAAAAAAAAAGTGCGAGAGCCCCCACCCAAAGGAGCCCCCAACTAGAAGGATGGAGCAAGAACTGAACCCCCACTTTCTATCTAAGGAAACTAGGGTACCTCTCCAAGTAGGGCAGGGCACACCTCCCCCAGGAGAAAGGATATTGCTAGAGGCTGGGAGACCCCCAACTCCCAAACCCCTCAGAGCGGGGTTACTGCTCGAGGTCCTCCCCCCCAAAAGGGTCCGGGAGCCCCTCCCCCATCCCCTTCCCCGAAGCCAGGCGACGGGCAGGCGGGCCCGTGGCTGCCAGCTCCGGGCGCTGGGGCAGCCAGGACCCCCGTGGGCCTCCGCAGCCCCCCCCCAGCGCCCCCTCCCCAGGGCGGGCGGGCGGGCGCGGGGTCCGGGGGGCGCCTCCTCACCTTCCCCTCAGCATGGCGCCCAAAAAAGACAGAGCGAGAGCGAGGGAGAGCGGGCGAGCGCCGCGAGGGGGGGGAAACGCATGAGGCCAGGAGAGAAAGCAAGCGAGAAAGAGCGAGCGAGCGAGAGACACCCACCGACCCCGCCCTTCCTCCTCCTCCTCCTCCTCCGCGGCCCGGCCCAACATGGCGGCCGCCCCCCTTCCTCCTCCTCCTCTTCCTCCCCCCGGGGACGCTGCCCCGGCCGGGCCGGGGGCCTGACCTGTCGTCAGGGAGCGGGAGGCGGTGGTGGAGGAGGTGCGGGGTGGCCGGGCAGGCGTCGGGGGAACACGGAGGAGGCGAAGGCGTTGATGGCGGCGGCGGCGATGGCGGCTGCGGCGACTCTGATGGTGGCGGCGGGGGGGTCCCGGGCGCGGCCTCCATAGTTCCTTTGGGGGGGAGGGGATGTTAATGCACGAAAAAGGACTGCTTGGGCGTGGCGGGAGGGGCACACTTCAGCTCTGAGGGCTCCTGATAGGAATGGGTATATATTTTTTCGGTTTCGGAATCACCTCTGCGCCGACCTCCGCGTAGGCCGCGCGGCCTAGGCCTCGGCGAGCCGCTCGCCGCCTTTCTCCGCAGCCCGCCCCTGGGGTCACTCGCTCACGGGCGCGGGACCCTCATCGCGGCGAGAGCCCCCCCACACACCTCCCCCGCGGGCCCGGAGGCGGGGGACCCGGGGGACACGGACACTGGTGGGTGGTTGGATGTAATTAGCGCGGGCCGCGCGCGATGGAGCAAGCGAGGGGGGAGGGGAGAAGAGGAGAGCGAGCGGGGGGGAGGTTAAAAAAAAGGATTTTAGGGAGAGAGGAGACGGGCCGCGGAGACGGGCCGACTGTCTGTCTGCCCTAGGTGCCCCGGCTGCTCGGCCCCCGCCGCAGTCAGAAATTCACACAAAATGGCGGCTCGGCCTGGAGGAGCCGAGAGGCTGAGGCGGGAGGAAGGGCGAGGTGGGAGGGGGCACTGGGAGGCGGAGGCGGAGGCCGAGTCACGTGGAGGAGAGGCCCGCAGGGCTTCTCCCGAAGGCCGGCGGAAAGAGCCGAAGGGAGAGAGTGAGGGCGAGGCAAGGCGGAAAGAGCCGAAGGCCGAGGGGCGGGAGACGGGCAGAGACGGAAAGAGCCGAGGTTGGCGATGGGGGTGTGGCCAAAGAGGGGATGGAAAGCCGCGGGAGCCGGAGATGGCCGAAGAGGACCAGGAGGCGTCGGGGGGCAAAAGCAAGGAACGGCGACGATCCGGAAGGAGCCGAAAGAGACGTCGGAGGTGGGTGGCAGGAGGCGGAACTAGCCGAAAGAGGAATGTAGACGGAAAAGGCTGAAGGGCGGGGCTCGGCAGGCGATTAACAGAGTAAAGGACGGGGAAGTGCACCCGAGCGCAAGCGGGAAGAACCGAAATTACCAGCTTGAGGGAAGGCGGGAAGAGACTAAAGTTTTAGGTGGAAGCATGGGAGGGAGAGAATTCGGGCTACGGAGGAAAAAAAATAACCGAAAGCTGGAGGCCGGGTGCCGTGAGTTGAAGGTTTCCGGAGAACGGGAGGATGGAGCCTAACAGGTCCGGAGCTGACGTCATTAGAAACCTCGGTCGGTGACGTCCCCTGGGGCGGTGCAAGAGGGGCGGACCTTGGTACTGCCTCCGGGAAGTTGAAGGACTTGCAGCGTGGGTACCGGGAAGGCTCACGATGAATGGTACACGTGGGATCGACTGCTCTGGTTCAAACGGTGTGCAAACGACCATTATAATAAGCTCTTTTGATCCGCACGGCTACACTGAAAGG